TAATTTGGTGGGTGTGTGTTGGGGGGGGGGGGGGGGGGATGTGGCGGGAAGAAAGACTTCAAATACCTCCAGAAATCATATTCCTACATTCTGAATTTTCAGAAGAGCTGGGTGAGGGGAGGAGTTGTCTATTTTCTTTTCAGCACGTTCCACTGTGCAAACCAAGTTGTAATAAAACAAGATTTAGATCAAAGAGAAACAAGTTTTCCTAAGAATATCTAAACACTTGAGTTGGTCTACGCTCACATTGTAACCATATGCAAACTGGCTATAGCAGCAATCATTTAAAATATATATACATATATAAATTTATAGCAACTTTTCTGGAGTGGGACAGCTAGAGTAGCTGTTGGGAGTTGCATTCATTGCTACTTAATACATATAGGTATACAAGTAGTACTTATGAGTGACACTGTTGTATGTAATCGGCTGAGCTCACAAAAGCAGACAAGAACCTCCCACAGACAATAGGATATTCTGATATTTAGCATTTCAGTATTAAAGAAATAATCAATAGATACAAACCTCCTCTTTCGTTTTCTTATTCTCTGCTCTAAGCTCTTCATATTCACCAATAGCTATACAAGAAAAAAAGAAAAAAGTAAGAAGTTAATATTGCAGCACCTCCTTTACTCAAATTAGTTCTCCATTTCATTCATTTTAAAGCTCTTCTGGCTATCTACATAGACTTCTTAAATAACATGGGTCATAAACTTCATTAATAGCCTATGGATGAACTGGATATCCTTTTAGAATTGAAGTAATTGGAAAGTGTCTGAAAAAGATGGTGGCCCCCAAAACAATCAATTTTTGATCAATGGAGAGTTAAACAACCTTATTGATTGAGTTCAAAAATTACAAGGTGAATGTACTGGCTTGCAGTCACCATTTTAAACCCACACTGGCTCAGGTTACAGATCAATGCTAGAAAGCATGGTTAATGCAATACTGCTACACGTATGTACCTCCAGAGTAGCTGAGCACCTTTATTTATTTATTTATTTATTAACATTTTCTTCCAACAAGAGTCCTATGAGAGACTCCTTTCTTTAAACTCCACAGTGGAGACATGAAAAGATGGTATGATTTACCCAAGATCACACAAGAGCTCAGCTGCAGGGATCAGCAGGGAAGGCATCAACCTCCAGGATGCTGGAAGTCCATTGTTTCAAACCAGTAAATAATATGCAGAAACAATCGATCAGCTACCAATTAAGCTTCCAGTTTACTGTGTATTTTTGTGTGCCCTTCTTAAACTTTTTATTTGACTACTTTAGGGACATGCCATCATTCCCCCAACTTCCCAATTCTATTGTTCTTTCAGTGTGTCCCATAGGGTCCCTTTGAGACCATAGAAATTTTACTGTCACTAGAAAGAAGCCAAACACACCTCCCAACCTTAAAGAAACATTTTTCAGTCTTTAAGATGCATACTAAAAGAATAAAATGAGAGGGCTGTTGACATTACTCTACATCTTATTGCAGCCCCTCAGTATCTCCTCAAATATTTTTCTTGTACCTAATAGAAGCTACACTAGCATACAGGTGTTATTTCAAGCCAACTTAATTAAAACTGGATAAAGGGTATGAATATATAGTTTTCAGCTGATGATAGCAGAGATGTTGGAGTTTCATCTTAAACTTAACATGTCTTACCTTACATCTGAAGACATAAATATGTAGAGTCTGGTAGATTAGCCACCTGAAAACCTACTAGCTCTTACAAATAAAGTTACACTCTGAACTCTTGTGGCATCGCTCATCTCCCCCCTCCCCAGTGTTTAAAAAGCTGTTGAAATAAAACTAATTCACCTCACTCCTGAAAGCTAGGTCCACAGCATCACTGTTCTGCTTGTTTTCAGCATGCCTATTACTCTCAGCAGCAGCACCAAAGTACCTCAGATGTAAAAACCTCAAATTCATCCCTTTACTTTGTCCCCACTTCTCCTTACCTACCTGAGACCCCTACCCACCTCCCATGCTCAAGAAGCAGAAAAAAACAAAGGTAGATGAGCAGGGAAGAAACCACGCTGATGCAGTTGCTCTAAGAAAGGGCACCTAAAGTGCAGCAATATTTCCTACATAAGAACGTAAAAGCTATGCCTCTTGATCACTGTTCCACTTCTAAGCCTTTAGGAAAACAAGGGAAGAAATTTGTAGCATCCAGATGCAAGAAAAGGAATGAAAACTGTATCAACAGATACAATTCAAGCTTCTTCATACTTGAAAACTGCTAGTGTTTGCTCGCCTTTAAGGCAAACTCATACTTGCTATTCAATACTTCATAAATGACTGAAAAATTTAAATATAGATTTGCCCCACCCTTGACAGCTCTCCTCACATGCTCTGTGAACTGAAAACTCTGAATCATCAGCCCTTAAGACATGGATACCAGAACAAGTTACCAAAAAACAAGGATACGAACTTACACAACGCTCCAGCAATCCCCAGTAAGGGCTCACCTGTGTGAGACTGGAAATTAAACTGTTCAGGGCAGCCTTTCCCTCTTTTACTGTGGAGGGCAATCCACCGCACATTCGTCATGGAATGCAAACACAAAATCACCAGCTACTCCATGCTGCGCTCACACAGCACCTTTCTTCAGTGCCTTTTTACCGTGCCCACCCCCTTATTGTCATTGCAAAACTATTAGTTCTTCCTTCAATGCAGCTAATATGTAGTAAAGATCTGGTATCTTAAAATAAGATTGTTCTTCATGGATGGCAACCTCTAGATGATGCTCCCATATAGATCCCATCATTCAGATTTTTGGATAAGGATTTATTAAACACTAAATCTAACAAAGAAACTGCTGGTTTTATCAGGCCTGGAAACAGAAATAATAACTAAAAAGAAGACTACACACATTTTCTGCTGTATATCAGATTCTCTGCAAAGGCAGAAGTTGACTTAGAAGTTATGAAGTGTGACTGGAAAGTTGGTGGATTTTTTTTCTTTTTTTGAACATTAGGGGCGGCGGTATTGGGAAGTTTTTATACAAAATTTTTCAAGTGTTTTATGTACACTGAAGTTTTGAGGCCACCTCAAAAAAAGTCAAGATTCTACATAACTTTCACTGACACACTAAACGGCATAAAGCTGACAGTGATCTCTTTGCTCTAAAACTACCCTAGAACAATTAATACCAGCAGCGCTAGGCAACACTTTACATGTTCCAGATCTCATATAGATCACTGAGCCTTAAAACCCCTTTGGTAGGTTAGGAGGTACCGTTATCACTCATTTATAGATTGAAAAGCCATAATCCTGTTGTACGAGGACATCCTTTAACCTTCTCTGAGAGACAGAACTATTTTTTTCTCCTTAACCTACGAAGGTTCTCACACAACATACACGACAACGGTACCTGAGCATCTCAAAACTTCTTACATCTCACCTTGACTCAATCAGATCATGCTATATATAAGTTACCCTTGAATAAAGATAGCTCTTTCCAATAAATTAGTGATGAATGAAACAAACAAGTGAAGATGCTTTACTAAAGGTGCTACTAAAATTCCAGAATGATACATAATTTTCTCAAAGAATCAATACTGTAGCATATATTGATAGTAAAATGCCTACGTTGTACTCATTAGCCTCCAGCGAATCCTGAAGAACTATAACAAATACGTATGAGACCTCTTGAGATACTGTCGCTGTCTGACGCTAACTTACAGTTATACTTAATAGAATTATTCCTGCTGTACAGCAGTATTATATAAGCAGTCTATCAGGATACAAATCACGTTTCTTTGCTTCAGGCTATCTTCATGCAGTATGAGGGCAACACTACCACTTCAAGACTAAGGAGAGAAAAAAGCTGGAAAAAGGAGAAAAGAATATTTTGGGCTATAGCTCTTAACCCACCCAAAATATATTCCCAGCCAACCCTGCTCTTACTGTACAACAGTCAAACCGCAAAATAGCCAACATGAGTGAACACAGCATGTTCCTTCATAACTTGACCATGCTCATTCACCACCTACTCACTCCTCGGCTCAGTTGGCCAGAAGGGACTGTCCTGTCAACATGTATCAATGCACTTTCTCTGTATTAAATTAAGCAGGTAACTTTGTATACAGAAGCTCTTTTAATTATATCTTGGTCTTTTGATTTTTAGTTGTGAACCTGTGTCTCCTGAACCTGGATTTGCTAACAGAAGATATGCATTATCTAAATTAGATGTTTTATATATTAGATACTTATTATGGCTAAAAAGCACTTATTAGTAAAACAAGGTCATAAGGGTAAAATTATATAATGACTATAATTCATGGTGAACAACAGAAAAGACACCTTCATTTACACAGAGTGAGGTGGTGAGACTCTTCCTACCCTTTTTATTAAAAAATTCATCAACCCCTTTTCTAAAGCTGTATATTAAAAATACAAATTAAAAAAACAACCTTAAAAATGCTACATGCATATACTTCAGCTTTTATATTGTAAACCAGGGTGGCCTTCAAGTAGATCAAGAGCCCTTCCATGCCAAATTAATGAGCAATGCCACTTCAGCATTTCAAACCTACTTATTTAATCAAAAAGTAAGTAGAGCTGTCAAAGGAAGCAAGTGTCATTCCACTATTTATTCTTCTAGACTACCAGGCATGTCTTTGCTGGTACAGGCAAGAGAAAGAGCTTACAGTGCAAGAAGTCCTTTGCTCCAGATGAAACAAGCTATCCTAAGGAAGTAATTTTTTGTTGGTAGAAGTAAACTAACACCTGGCTTTCTGCAGGTTCGGATATATCATTAGAGAGAGAATTACCCCTGACAGCAACACTGCACCAGAAGCTTTAATGGGACGGCTGCCACCACCCTCCTCATCCCAGCGTACTTGGAATAGCAAGAGTCAGACCAAGTCTGTTGTACAAACCACCTCTCAAATAGCAGCGGTCTCCCTACAAGCACAGTGTGCACAAGACCTGTGAAATGCTGTCAAGAGTACAAAAAACAGTCAAAAGGGCTCAGTTTTTCTCTTGTTGCCCATTTTAGGCTCAGAGATTCCTTTTGCTAAACCCAGGCAATCTCTGTTTCAACAGGACAGGGTATGGCACCAGCAGCACCAGCCATGTGTGAACTACCTCAAACTGATGCCTGGGCAGCATTTTTAACATCCCCTGGGCCTCCACGAAGGAGAGATGGAGCTGAGGAATAAGCCCTTATGGGCTTGTGTAAAGGTGAATGTATGTGATGGCATTATACCCATTACTTTACAGTGACTCCAAATCTTGAGTCTATTGCCTATTATTAGGCCTAAAGCTTACATGGCCCAACCAAGCTTTTGGTCACATATCAGTTGCACTAGCTGATGCATACAAGATTCAATTACCAAACAGTCCTTAAAAAAAATAAACAAATAAAAATCATGTGTGTAAGTATAAAAAGGTAAGCCTTAAGTACAAATACTGTACATCAGATCCTGCATCTGTGTTCTCACACGCTTTGATTTTACTCAAACCTGCAAAAGTGTGTACAAAGAATTTTTTCAATGAGACCCTAAATCTGTATGCTGCAACCTTACAGCTTCCTGGAAACTGGACAGGGAAATTAAATACCCCACTGCCTG